TATTTTTCTACTAATAATAAACAATTAACACTAAACAATACTTAATATTTATTATTTTATTTAGACCTGAAAATTTCCAATCCAATTTCATTCTTCATCGTCGACCAATAAATGAATCTCCTGATTTTCAACCATCAACATCCTCTTCTAATCTTCAAGATTCTTCAGAACCTGATGAGCAAGAAAGTCCTACTGTATCATGAAATGATGTAGTTCGAATTATGGTCTCATATGACATGGGATGGAGTACCAGAGGTGCAGGACGACAATATGATAGTAACAATGGTTTTGGAGCCATTATAGGCTGTTTGAGTGGATTGGTTTTAGACTATTCGACATGCAATCGTAAATGTAGAAAATGCGGCAAGGATGGTCCAACACCGGAGCATAATTGTCGAAGAAATTTTTACGGATCGGCAAAGGCAATGGAAGTTCATGTTGCCAAGAAAATTGTAGTTGAAAGTGAGATTCTTCGAAATGAAAACGTTGAAATTGGGGTATTAGTAGGAGATGATGATAGCTCTACTATTGCAGCATGTAGGGCTGCAGCTAATCATCCAATTATCAAACAGTCTGATGTCAATCATACGTCGGGAGGAGTGAAAAAAAAGATGTACAACATTCAAAAAAATCACAAGGAGTTAACAAAGGATTGCATCATATATCTTCATAGATGTTTTACATATGCTCTGGCTCAGAACAAAGGCAATAGTGTAGGTTTAGCAAATGCAGTTCGGAGCATTCCTTATCATGCCTTCAATGATCACACTAAATGTGGTACGTGGTGCGGCTTCTATGAAAATAAAGAAAATTATGATCACAAAATTATACCTGGAGGTTTTCAGGATCACAGCGATTATTTGAAGAACTCAAGGATATCTTCGACAAATTAGCCTCAAATGCACAAAAATTCTCGACCGGTGCATCTAGCAACGCAAACGAAAGTTTAAATGCAACCATGGCCAGTAAAGCTCCTAAGTCTAGGTGCTATAGCATGACTGCTTCTGCTGACTTTCGTTTCGCTTGTGCTATAGGCCAAAAAAATTTTGGGGGAATCATACACACAAGAAATTGCTAAAAAGATTAATTTATCACCAGGAAAATACCACACTCAGCATGTATTGAGGAAACAGAGAATTTTGCTGAGGAGACGCAAATTGATAAAAACACCTGAATATAAAAAAAGACGTATGCAATTAAAAAAACTTCGCTCTGTTGTACGACATAGAAAAGAGAATACGGAAGGTATTACTTATGAGACTAATTGTGCTCTTTTGACTGAACCTGCTGTTCTAATAAATGAAGAAAATAATTCCGATCCTGAAGAAGATCTTTGTGAAACTCCTATTATCCTCCTTGATCTAGAAACTTCTGGGTTTCAAGCTGACTGTGATATTTTACAAATTGCCGCCAAATGTAACAAAAGTACTTTCACAACTTATATCAATCCGATTCAACAAATTTCACCAAAGGCTACTGAAGTTCATGGTCTAGTCAATTGCTACGGCGATCTTATGCATAATGGCATAAAAGTATCATCAGTTCCCATTAGAATAGCATTGGGAGATTTCCATATTTGGTTGCAATCATTCGGAAAAAAATTTGTATAGCAACGCATAATCTTACTTTTGATGGCCCCAGATTGTTCAAAGCAATCATTAAAAACAACTTAATTGATGATTTTTCAATGATAATTTATGGCTTTATAGATACCTTATCGATTATAAGAAAAATAACAGGTAGAAAAGGTAAAGATTCATGTACGCTCAGTGGATTAGCCGATGCATTAAATATCTCAAAAATTGGAGCACATAATACAGTTAATGATTGTGCAATTCTTCACAAAATATTGAAAAAATTAAAAATAAGCAATAACACTTTGTTGGAAACTGCAATTTCGTTTTCAAAACAGACTAACCATTGGAAACTAGCAATTAAAATCAAAGAAAATTTGCAAACCTTGCTGCCAATACAAAATATTGTGGGTTTATCGATTCGGCAAAAATTAGCAGTGGCCGGAATAACTTTGGATATTTTAAAAAATAAATATGAGGCTGCAGGTGCGGGAACCGTAAAAAAATTCATCGAAGAAAAAATAAAAAATAAAGAATTACAACAAATACAAAAAGCTAGCATTCAAAAAATAATCGACTGGTTTCATTGATTTATTCTTCTTCTTTAGATTGATTGATTGTTTGCAATATTTTGTTTAAAAGATTGTTTCGTTTAGTTTTTTATTTTTGAATTCTTTTTATTATATTTTATTTTTTAGTTCTTTTATTTTTGAAATTTATACTTTGCAACATAAATATAGATATATAAATAAGAATATATTATTAATAAGAAATCATTATATATTAATAAATTATCGTTATGAACCTATCTCCTATGTAGTATTTGTAATTATAAATATAAATCTTTTTAAATGTGCAATTTGTGTGAAATTTCTTGACATTTAGTTGTAATAAATGGCTTGATATTACTATAATGAACAAATTCTAATTTTGGTAAATTTTATTTTCTGTATACTATTTTTTAATGTCAGTGTGAACGAGGTCTCAACTCTCAACTTATACAATATTAGAGAATTGCGTATATGTGCTGCGTAACACATGTACGCCGTTTAGACATAACAGTGCGATGTTGCCACGTTTTCACAGTGAATCACGCATCAATTTGGATAATAGATGAATTATATTCAATATCTTTGGAATCATTCAGTACTTGATCAAAATTATTTAAATATTTCTTCTATATCTAAGGTACATTTTCTCAAATTTTGAACTAATTCCTATCATTTTTTCTATCAATTTAACCATTTAAATCAACATAATTATATGTTTTCCATAAAGTTACGGGTAAATTGCAAATCCTTATAACTTTTGATTGCTTCAGTAAATCGATCCCAAATTTTGTCACAAGTCTACGAACATATGTAAGAACAATCTGTAAAATTTTTGTTAAATTCCTAACATTTTAAAAATAGGTACTAAACATCCTTAAAATGCAATTCATTGTTTTTCAATGGTAATGCAAAAAATTCCAATTAATTTCAGGTTTTTCTATTAATCAATACTAGAAACATTTGTTTGTTTATTATTTTATTTTTTTTATAATAATATATGTCGAAACAATTACAACTTTACCTTCAACAATAACATACTACATATATTGAATATAATACATATATTAACATATATTAAAAACAGATGAATTTATGGAACAAACGTATCACAAAGGTGATGTTCGTGAAAAAAGTGATTTATACAAAGTGACTTTTTGCACCATGCGCAAGTAATTATTGCAGGTGCGACACAAATATCGCATGTTGGTTTTGACTGTTTATGGAAACAAAATTCCACTGGTGTTTCGAATTCTTCGGGCTTATTTATTACGTACCCACTTTTATACCATGCGTATTTCAATAAATTTCTGAATCTTGGCGATGAAAATTGATTATGAGTCAATGACTGTAATTTTAAAATGGTGTTTCTTCCATGCAGATTGACTTCCAGACCTAAAAGCATTACAGTATCAGAAAAGTGTCTAATAAAATTCTTCCACAAACGAAAACCATATACATCCAATGGTTGTATTTTTCCTGTTGTTCCAGCTGATATAGTCAACAAAATAATATCTTCTGTAGATTCTGGTTTAGATTCTTGAATAATATTTGGACAATGACCAAAGTTTAGTCCATGAATCTAGTAGTAAAACAGATTTTGGACTTACATTTGGAAAAAGTACGTCTTGCAACCAAATTTTAAAATGATGCGCTGTTAATTTTCCGGATTTCGAAGCCGTAACAAAAATATTAGGCGCCTTAAACATTGTTTCTTGCACTCTGGGACCAAATGTTACACTAACTTCTTTTAGTACAATAAAAAGAGGCGATAATAATCTACCATCGGCTGAAACAGTAGGTTGTATAGTATAGCTATACGTAGTTGCCGATACGGATTGTACTGCAGATTCAATCTTTTTTGTTTCTTTATATGCCAATGTACGACCGGCATGAAGTTCTAATTGGAATCCGCTTTGATCACTGTTGTAAATATTTTCAACTCCATATTCTATTATTTGATATTTAACGTTTTCAATAAATGTGTTACATTTTTCTTCAAAATCGACGTTAGACATTATAGATGTTTTTCTTATAAATTTTGTTATTTTACGAGATACAATATTATGTATTATTTTAAATTTTTGTATCCATCGCGATGAAGCTGTAAATTCTGGTACATTTAAATTTTCTTGTGCCCGAATAGCCCATCAAGCTAAATCAGCGTTGTGAACAATAATTCTATTTTCAAGAGCTGTGAAAATTATTTAATGTATATTCCGAAATTTGTTTTAATTTTTCGAATCTACTGCCACCTTGATTCACTTGAATTTCCCATCGTCGTAATTGACGTAATAAATATACTTTCCGAAATCTTTGTTTTACTCCTTCTAATGTTCTTGGCCTTGTTGTACTGCTTTTCCAAAATTCGACTGCATTTTTTTTATATTCATATGGAATACATCCATCTGTAGTACATATAACTTTAAGATTTGCGTCCATAGCTCACCTTCTTCCTCTTTATCTTGTGACGTGACATTTTTGAAGTCCGTCACAAGGGCGAGAAAACCCGATCGAGGAGGGAAATTTGAGGTCGGACACCCCACCGCGGGGGGCAACGACCTCTCCCTCTTAATTCTCTTTTGGAGACTTTAGATTTTGCGTTGTAGCGAATTAAGCGAGTCGTGGTGAGTGGCCAAACTCCCATATTGTGAATTACCGTGGAGCAGCCTTCGTGGGACCTGCGAGGGACTCAGCAGGCAGGACGACGGAGGCCTGGACGGCGTGCAGACGGACCCAGGATAAGGGCAAGTAAAAACAACCTTGCAAATATCATCCGATTCCAGACACAGTCGCTACCGCAGTTACGATTTCAGATACGGAGCATATCGAGGCCGGTGAACGCACCGAGAAAGATGACGCCCGAGAGGGAAGCGCGCTCTCACACGCCGAAGACCCGGGGTGGAGTACCCGAACAAGGAGCTGTTGTAACGAGCCAGGAAAGAAGAATCCGGTCGGAACCTGGCCAGTTCCCGACCGATTCAAAGAAGGTTCGGATCCGGAAACGGAGAAGGCCACGAAGGGCGTTAACGGCAGCTGCCAAAAGAGAAAGGCCGGGGTCACCTTGGAAAAACGTCACCGAGGGCCGAAATATCGAGGAGCGACGCGAGGATCGAGATCGCTAGATATATCGAAGGATCAAGAAGCGCTAATCGATAGCGCGGATCTACATGCGCAGGACGATGCGCGGAATGTCACCGCTGTCCGGCGAGCCTCGCTGTTGTCACTGTTCGGCGAGTCGGCAACCTGAGCGGAACCTCGAGGACCACTACGGGCGTACCAGCGATTTGTAAGGCCACCACTTCGACTTCGCGGTAAGAGCGGTATCAGCAGGCGGCCCGAGCCTCGCGGAATTAAGAACCCGCATATTTTGCGTAACGAAAATAGCTTATCTCGAGATGTCTCGCGCTATCATGTGAGGTTAGAGTTTGGCCGGGCCCCGCTGACTACCGCTTCTGTAAATTAAGATTTTACCATGCTATCCCCCTCGGGGCTGCCGAGCCGACAGTCGTTTTGCGTTAAATAATGTCTTTTTGTGAGTAACAATTTCGCGTCGGTTTATGTGTTGCTGTACCGAGCGTTGAAGTCTTGAAGTTAGCCTATCGCGTATTTCTCGCCTCGGCCTTCTGTCGAGCGTTTACATCCAGAACCGTAAGAATAATACTGACAAGGAAAGGGACCCAAGTGTCCCCCTCCGATTTTGACGAGCTTTAAATATGTTGTAAAGTAGCTCAAAATAAGAGACACGTATTTTTTTTATGTGCTTTCTCGCACGTTTAGGGTTGAAACAACTAGAAGCTAAAACGGTTTTTTGGTTTTGACTGAATATTGTCAAAACTGTAAGAGATATCAAAAAATGTTTCGAATAAAAGTTGCATGGTCTTTTATGAGCTTTATAACCACG